TCCGCGCTGTGACCCGTTTCTCGCCCGATCCGGGTCCTGCCCGTCCCGTTTCCCCTCTCCTGTGGGCCACTAGAGGGGCCCGGAGGCATGTGGAAACTCGAGATGTGGGCGTTTTGGGGAGACTTTTCCCAGCCCTTGGTCCAGCAACCCCCTCCCCACACCCCGAGTCACCAGGAGAGCTGAGGGGCCCTTGGCAGCTGCTTGAGCGTTGTCCCCAGGAAGGGCCGGTTGGGTGGTTGGGCTGGCTCCTTTTTTTCCACTGTCCAGTCTGGCCCATCTTCCACTTGCGTCCCTGTCTGCCCACAGGTTGGCACGGGTGACCCTCCCTGGGCAGAGTGCTCTGTGTCTGCCACCCCTAAGCCCACCCCACGTGGGATTTTGGAGGAGGATGGAGACCTCTGCTTCTGGCTGGCTTAGTTTGCCTCTTCCACCGGCCCTCGGCCACTTGCCCAGCCTGCTGCAGGCCTGGCACGAGCTCTGCCTCCTGGCTGCAGGGCTGTGTCCCTGCCAGGAGGGAGTATCAGAAGGGACAGAGTGGGGGATGCTGGCGAGTCCAAAGCATCCCTGCCTGGTCACCTGCCATCCCTGTCCTGGCCTGTAAGCACTCCTCCTTGACAGTTTCCCTAAACCCAGGATCCCTGCCATGCCTGTGGAGTACCTCCTCTTGCCTGCCATAGGTGAGGGGTGCACAGAATACCAGGAAATGTCAGGAGGCCTGGACTCTGGCATTTCTCCTCCAGCCTCCAGCTGAACCAGAGGCCTCCTTGCCATACAGAAGGGCTGCAAGGGGCGGGAGCAGCCTCAATTCTTTGTTTCTTTGGTGGTCTTTGGTGATGGGAGAATCTATCTTTGGTACATTTTCCACTAGAGTCTTCTAGGGGAACTCCTAGGCGGTTTCTCTAGGCCTTAGGGCAGGTTAGTGAGCCCACTCCCATCCACCCTGTGGCTCTTCCTTCCTGCATTAGGGATGCCTGCTGTTTTGCAGAGCCAGCTTCAGGGCATTCCTGAAGTGTGGGGTATTTGCTTCTGGGTACGTCTGTCCAGGTCCACTGTGATTTCAGCAGGTCCAGTCTGCTGGGGCCCTGGGCTGTGGCACTGCAACCTGGACATAATGCATGCAGGCCTGTGTTCCCCTTAGGGTTCGCTGTGACCATGGCCCACCTGCTGGTGCAGTTGCCGTGCTTTGGCTGGGACCTCAGTGTCCTGGTCCTGACTGGAAGGCCTCCTTCCTCCTCTTCCGCCCCAGCCATATCTGTTGGTTCTCTAACCCAAGGGCTCACTCAGGCCCTGCCTTCAGCCCCCTGAGGTCCCACCATGCTGTTCTGAACCTTGCGTGACTCAGCAGCCCAGACCCTGGGGTGTAGTTTGTCCTGTGCTGGGTCATGTTCATGCTATGCTGCACTACAGAATTGTTCTCGGGTTCATTCCTGTGTTTGCTTCTTTTCTCTGCCTGTCAAATTGAGAAGTTTTCAAAGGCAGGCAGTGCGTCTGCTGTGTGTGGTGGTACAGGAAGTTCACTGCCCCTTGACAAACTCTGAGCCCTGAAGGCAACAGGTATTTTGGGCCAACTAGTTGCCTTGATGGTGCCCAAGGTCCACAGGCCTCCTGTTGTCCTTGACTCTCGCTGTCTGGGCCGACGTCAGCAAGACTAATGGGGGCACATGGCAGGTTGGGCCCTGATGGGATGGCAGGGGGAGGAGGCTGCAGGCTCTGTGCCTCTGACCTTTGCCCCACCCCCATTCTGCCTCCCCTGGCATGGGAGGCCCTGTCTCTTTGGGGCATCCCTCCTTACCAGCAACATTCACTTTTCTGTCTTCACAGTGACTTCCTGATTCTCCCAGGATTCATAGACTTCATAGCTGATGAGGTGGTGAGTACCTCTTCCTTGGACAAGGGGGAGGAAGGCTGTGTTGTGGTGAAGAGGCTGACTTCTTGCTCAAGGGCAGGGTATGGGAGAGAATTTTCTTGGGAATGTGGTGCATGTGGCCTTTGTTGCCTGATGAACTGGTGGAGGTTGAAGGGTTATGCCTGATGGGGCAGAGGCAGATATGGGAACTCAGGGGTGTCCTGAGCGAGGGCCTGCACAGGGCCAATGGGCTTTCTGTCACTGACAGAGCCTGTGGGCAGGCTCAGAAGAGGCCCTGGGAGAGGGTGGGCTTGGGTGTGGGTACCTTATTGTATAAACCATAAGGATTGGATTTTGTCTAAGATGCTGAGCAAGGGCCTGGAAGAGCCAGCAAGATTAGAGAGACTTTGAGAGACAGACTTATTCCCAGATCCACAATGTACAAGAACTGGAAGAGGGTTTGAAAGAGTTGGCTTTCGGACAGATGCAAGGAGACGCAGTGTCTTACTTTCCAGGAGGGGCTCAGCAATGAGCCAAATCAGTGAATAATTGTATATGATAAACTCATAGTAGCTGGGAGTGGGGGGAGATCACAATGATGGTGTAAGCCATTTCAGAAAGAAGTTCGATGATTCTGTGATGAATTCATGCGTTTTTGAAAAACTCATCTCTTTTCTGTTCCTATTAGGATTACTTCATCCGGTCTGGTTCCGGAGTGTGCCTGGAGCACTTATGTGTTGGGGAAGCTTGTATCTAGCCTGTGTGTAGCCGGAGATAACCTAGACAGATTTTTAGGGAGAAATTTGGGCTCTTCCAGTTCTCTTATGACAGATACCAGGAAGCCTTCTTGGTTCAACTGTCCAGTTTAACAGTTTACTGAGCACTCTGGCTTTGTGCCAGACCCTGGCTAGCTGCTAGGAAGAGAAAGCTGGAAAAGGTCCCTGCCTGGCTGGCGAGGGTCTCCCTGTACTCTGACCTCTGTCAGGCAGGCTGTGGCTCTTCTCCTGTGGCAAGGTGGGAGAGGAGAAGGCAGCATTTTCTAGATTATGGATCCAGGGTTCAGGACCAGGGTCAGCGATGGACTTCAGGGATTTTTTTCTTTTTCTTGTTCTTTTTTTGAGTTGGAATCTTACTCTGTTGCCCAGGCTGGAGTGCGGTGGCACAATCACAGGCACCTCAGCCTTCCAAGTAACTGGAACTACAGGTGCACATCACCATGCCCAGCTAATTTTTTGACTTATTGTAGAGATAGGGTCTCGCCATTTTGCCCAGGCTTGTCTCAAACTCGTGGACTCAGGCAGTTCTCTCGCCTTTGCTGGGTTTACAGGCCTGAGCCACTGTGCCTGGATTTTGCCTTTTTCTAATAAAAAAATTTTTTTTTTTTAATAGAGATGGAGTCTCCCTATGTTGCCCAGGCTGGTCTTGAACTCCTGGCCTCAACGATCCTCCCTCCTCGGCCTCCCAAAGCACTGGGATTACAGGCATGAGCCCCTTCAGGGGCCTTTGAATCTCCAAAATGATATACAATGTGTATGAGTGTTTTGGGGACTGGCATCCACAACCGTTGGCCTGAGTCTCTGAGAGGTCCATGATCTGACCCTGTGTACTGTTTGTGGTTAGATGACTCCTGACATGTGCTTGTAATCCTGACCACTGTCTCGCGTGTCAGAGCTTTAGTCTCCTGCTTTCCCAGGTGGCTGACAGCTTCCTTCTCCCCCAGCTTGGCCCTTGTCACCTAGAATCCTTTCTCCACACTGGAGCCAGAGCGACCTCTATAGACAAAAGTTGGGTGTAGTATCTCTCTTCTGCCTAAGACCCACCAGTGGCTTCTCTTCCCAGAACAGAAGCCAGTCTTCTCTCCATGGCCTTCAAGCCCAAACACACCCCCAGGCAGCTTCCTGTCCCTCTCCCTTCCCTCCACTCCACTGGCATTTTTTTTTTTAGGCTGGATCTCACTCTGTCACCCAGGCTGGAGTGCAGTGACACCATCCCAGCTCACCACAGCCTCAATCTTCTGGGCTCAGGCAATCCTTCAACCTCAGCCTCTCAAGTAGCTGGAACTATAGGCGAGTGCCACCATACCTGGCTAATTTTTCATTTTTTGTAGAGATGAGATCTCTTATGTTGCCCAGGCTGATCTCAATCTCCTGGGCACAAGAGATGCGCCAGCCTCAGCCACCCCAAGTGCTGGGATTACAGGCGTGAGTCACCGCACCTGGCCCTGGCTTTCTTTTTCTTTCTTAAATGTGCCTCAGGAAGAATGGGAGTCCCAAGCGGGTTTGCATGCATGACTCCTTCCGCCTAGAATGACAGTTCCTCCGACTTGTACTTGATTGGTTCCCACTGGCCACCTCCCAAAAAAGAGACTTCCCCTGACCACCTTGTTTCTGGAGGTCACTTGGCCTTACCGTTTTTCTTTGCAGCCTCCATCCTGACTGAAACCATCTTGTCTGTGTGTCTCATGTCTGTCACCGTTCTTTCAAAGTAGAACACACACTCCCTCAGACTAGCTGGCACCGCAGCTGCCTACTGACTGCCATATCCCCCGGGCCTGTCATGGTGCCGGGCTCACGTAGGAGCTCGGTGAATGTTTGTCCAAGGGGTGCTAAACTTCTCACACAGGCTGTGCCTCTATCCTCAGGACCTGACTTCAGCCCTGACCCGGAAGATCACACTGAAGACACCACTGATCTCTTCCCCCATGGACACTGTGACGGAGGCCGACATGGCCATTGCGATGGCCGTGAGTCCTGTGCCCGGGTGGAGTTGAAGAGGGTGGACTGTGCTGAGGGACGGGAAGAGGAAGTATGGACCCGGGCTCTGACCATGCTTCCTCCCCACACCAGCTGATGGGAGGTATTGGTTTCATTCACCACAACTGCACCCCAGAATTCCAGGCCAACGAGGTGCGGAAGGTCAAGGCAAGTACCAGCCTGTCTCCAGAAAGACGCCACCTGGCGGCTCCCACCTCAGAGACCCTCCCCACCCTGTTAGCCAACCCTGTAGGCTGCTGCCTTCCCTGGCTGATGCCTGTGGGGTCTGGCTCAGTGGGGTACTGGACCAGACCCTCATTTTCCTCCGGCCCCTCACCCCATCGAGAGTCTGGTTTCTCTGTGTCACAGCCAGGGCACCCTCTGTCCCCTGCGACCAGGCCGGGCACCCTCCCTGGCTGTCTTCCAGCCTTCTCCTTCTCTCGTCTCTGCCCACAGAAGTTCGAACAAGGCTTCATCACGGACCCCGTGGTGCTCAACCCCTCACACACTGTGGGTGACGTGCTGGAGGCGAAGATTCGGCACGGCTTCTCCGGCATCCCCATCACAGAGACGGGCACCATGGGCAGTAAGCTGGTGGGCATCGTCACCTCCCGAGACATCGACTTCCTCGCCGAGAAGGACCACACCACCCTCCTCAGTGAGGTACTGCAGGGCGGGGGAGTGGGGCCGGGGTGCAGAGAGGGCCCTTCTCCCTGGGGCCTCAGGCTGGTGTCTGTGACCAGGGACCAGAGGGAGGCCTGGCTCCTTCTCTCTCACCTGCCAACCTGCAGGCAAATGTTCCTGGCCCCACAGGTGATGACGCCCAGGATCGAGCTGGTGGTGGCTCCAGCGGGCGTGACATTGAAAGAGGCAAATGAGATCCTGCAGCGTAGCAAGAAAGGTACTGGGAGGGGACAGAAGACACCACTCCCAGCCTGACTGTCTGTGCCCTGGGTCCCCCGTTCCTCCGCAGCCTTGCAGGTTGTCCCAGCAGCCAGAAGGAGCCTTGGGAGAGGTCTCAACAACCCCAGGCAGGCCGGAGCACACCTCCCGACGTCTTTCTGGCTTAGGGAAACCGGCCCCCGGTCGGCGTCTGCACGGTGTTTTCCAACACGAGTCCTGTGAGATGCTCATCATGAAAAAGGGACCCTGTGGTCCTAAAAGTCTGAGAAGTGCTCTTTCTCTGTCTCTCATCTTGCATCAAGAGTTGCACACTTGCCTCTGAGAGTCCTGCAGTTAAATTTATTTGACGCTGGGGCTTTTGCATTAATACTCACTTGTGAGAAGCAACTTGGGATTTTTAGGAAAAAAAGAAGACTGAAATATTTCCTAGGTCCTTGAGTTATCTGGGAGATGCTTCCCTGGCCCAAGCTGGAGGGTACTTTGGGGCTTGTGTTGGGCAAGGCACGTGTTCCTCCCTGCGGGATAGCCTCGCATTTGCCCCCCCCCTCCCCTCCCCCCCCCCTTGGGTCCAACCACTGTGGCTGTGGCCCAGCAGGTGAAAGGCTGCCCAGCCCAGGCCCCAGGGCAGGAAGAGCCCCAGGAGCCGGCCTGAATGGGAGGTGTCTTTGCTTCCTGTTCCTTGGGAATCAGGCCAGGTTCCTAGAACACTTCTCGGGTGGGTGGTGCCACCTCGTGGCTGGTGTAGGTACTTCAGTAGAATCTCTGGCTCAATCCACTTTCCTGCGGAACACACACCACCTCCCAGCCCCTCCCGCCACGCCTGCTTCTCCCTCGCCCCTCTGCCTTTTTCCTCAGGGAAGCTGCCCATTGTCAATAACCGCGACGAGCTAGTGGCCATCATTGCCCGCACCGACCTGAAGAAGAACCGGGACTACCCTCTGGCCTCCAAGGACTCCCACAAGCAGCTACTGTGTGGGGCAGCTGTGGGCACCCGGGAAGATGACAAATACCGCCTGGACCTGCTCACCCAGGCGGGCGCTGATGTCATCGTCCTGGTGAGGACGCTACCTAGGTGGGGTTGAGGGCACATTCACTGAGAGCCTCCTGCTCGCTGGGCCTGGCGTGAAGACCTTTGTTTATGTCAGCCCCTCGAGGTGCAATCCTCGTCCCCAGCGGTCATGTGAAGAAACTGCTGCCCGAAGAGGCTAAGGAGTTTCATTTGGTTAGTGAGTTGGGGGGACAGCAGACGACCCCAGGGAGCACCTCCTTGCTGTGGGGGTTGATGTGTACGGGGGCATGAAGGGCCATTGTCTGCTTTAAGACTGTGCATTGGTAGGTTTAACCTTTTGGGGAAATAGGGCCCCTTAGAGAATCAGCTGAGAGTTGTCAAGTGACTTCCTAGGGGAAAAAAAGGACATTCTCATAAAAGTGTTTTTTTGTTGTTCTTTATTTTTGTGTCGGAGTCTCATTCTGTCGCCCAGGCTGAAGTTCAGTGGCACGCTCACAGCCTCGACCTGCTGTACTCAAGCGATCCTTCCACCTCAGCCTTCCAAATAACTGGAACTACAGACGCACGCCACCACGCCTGGCTAATTTTTTGATTTATTGTAGAGACGAGTTCTCGCCAAGTTGCCCTGGCTGGTTTCAAACCTGTGGGCTCAGGCAGTCCTCTCGCCTCTGCCTCCCAAGGTGCTGGGTTGACAGGCATGAGCCACCATGCCTGGCTATCTTAGGGATTTTCTTAGGCTCTCTCAGGTTATCCACTGAGGGTCTTTCTCCCCTGTGAGCGCCCTCTATTATCTAAGCCTGAGCTCTTCTGTCCCTTTCGCAGGACTCATCCCAAGGGAACTCAGTGTATCAGATCGCCATGGTGCACTACATCAAGCAGAAATACCCCCACCTCCAGGTGATCGGGGGGAATGGTGAGTGCAGGGTCCCCTCTAGCCCCTGCCCCCCCCATAACCCTTCTCTGTCCTTCAGCACCCCTAGAAGGCGGCATTGCTCCTGGCATGTGGGGCAGGGAGGATGATGGACTTTGGTCACTGTGGGGGTGCAGGGTGGCTAGACTGGGCTCCCAGGAAGCCCCTGGGCAGGGCAGGGGCATCCCTTCCTCACACTGTTCCTTTGCCCTACCCCCGCCCCCAGTGGTGACAGCAGCCCAGGCCAAGAACCTGATTGACGCGGGTGTGGACGGGCTGCGTGTGGGCATGGGCTGCGGCTCCATCTGCATTACCCAGGAAGGTGGGTGTCAGCAGGAGAGTGAGTGACCGCCCGTTAGGAGAGTGGGCCACCACTGACCCTGGAGCTACGCTCTTATCCCACAAGTGCATATTGAGTGTCGCTCAGACAGGCCCTTCCAGCAAGTGGGTTCATGGCAGACCCAGGCACAGGCTCCCCCTTGTCTGGCCCCTTGTCTTGCTGGGAGACCTGTGTATGCAGACGAGGGCACTCAGGTACACGACCTGCTTCTCAGATTCTGATCAAGGAGACCCGGTCTGGAGGCCCAGGCTGGTGAGACCTCTTTTCCAAGAGGCTCATGGAAAGTCAGCTCGGGGTTTGGTTTCGATTTGTGACAAGACAGATGCTTAGGACATGGAGACGTGTCCCTGGATACTTAAGGGCATTCTACACCCACATCACCATGACGTGCAGTTGGGTGGGTTCCACTCACTCACAAAGCCCTTTTGCGAGGGGGGGGTTCCTGGACATGGGTGGGGAGGGGGAGACCCTGACATGTGCTCCCGTGGTGAGGGGGTGCTCCCTGGAGGTTGGTGTCTGACTTGTGGAGTGCCTGCCTGCAGGTGCAGGGCTCTGGCTTGGTCTGAGGGAATGTGCCTGGCTCCTGTTGTGAGGTTCACTTCTCCACAACGCCGAGTGACATACTTGGCCTTCCCTGCCCAAGTCAGCTCTTCCTTTTGGTCTCTAGAGCCTCTGTATTTAGGTTTCTACCTTCACCTTAGCTGACCACCATGGTCTGCTCATGGTCTGCTCATGGTCTGAAACATGGGCCTGCTCTCACTCGCTTAACAAATATTAACTGAGCATCTATGAAGGGGGACCCCTCCCCCAAAACCAGAATCATCTCTTGGAGGGCAGGCCCCTTGTAGGCTTTCCTGCTAGGTAAGTATTCTAGGAACCCATCGGCATCCGTGGACCAGCTAGCATTGTGGTGAGAGACTGATCGTCAAAGGGAAACTCCTCTTCCACTGCCCAAAACAGTTTTGGAGCTCATCAATTTTGATGCCTTTCAATGCTTCTGCCATTTTTTAATTTCTCTTCCGCATCAGCAAAACTTTTCCCTTTGAGGACTTTTTTCATCCGGAGAAACAAAAAAAAAGAAAGGTGCTCAGAGCGAGGTCAGATGAATAGGGAGGGTGGGGCACAGGGGTTATGCCGTTTCTGGTCAAAAACTGCTGAACATGCAGTGCAGTGTGGGCAGGTGTGCACGTCTACCAGCCATCATGAGATGGGCAAACACGTTGAAAGAACCTTCCAAAAAGAATTCACTGAAACAGCCTCTCCCAATAACACTAGCTGGTCCACGGATGCCGGTGGGTTCCTAGAATGCTCCTCCGGGGGATGCCTGGACCACAAGGGGTCCCTCACTCCAATAAATAATTCCAGTTTTGGGGGCTCCGCCCTGTATGTTATGCCTCGGAAACACCATCCAGCCCTTCCCTTTCCCCGGAGTAGGGGCAGGGTCCAAGGAGGAGGAGCCGTCCAGCCCACGCCGGGCCCCTGTGTCTTGGCTGACTCTTCTCTGCTTTGTGCATCCCCTCCCCCAGTGATGGCCTGTGGTCGACCCCAGGGCACTGCCGTGTACAAGGTGGCTGAGTACGCCCGGCGCTTTGGTGTGCCCGTCATAGCTGATGGTGGCATCCAGACCGTGGGGCACGTGGTCAAGGCCCTGGCCCTTGGCGCCTCCACGGGTGAGGCGAGGTCTTCCGGGGACCAGGCAGGTTGGGGGCTGGGAGCTGGCAGGGAGGTCGGAGGGCCGTGAGGCTGGAGGCCCTGACCCCTTGTGTACCATAGTGATGATGGGCTCCCTGCTGGCCGCCACCACGGAGGCCCCTGGCGAGTACTTCTTCTCCGATGGGGTGCGGCTCAAGAAGTACCGGGGCATGGGCTCGCTGGATGCCATGGAGAAGAGCAGCAGCAGCCAGAAGCGATACTTCAGGTGCCTGCCTGGGCCCGGCCCCCTCCCCAGCCAGTGCCCAGGTCTCTATCTGGTCGTTTTGGAAACTGAGGCACAGGGCATAAGTAGGGACACAAGACCTGTCCCTGGGCCACCTGACGCGAAGGCTGTGTTTCTGCGGTAGCCCCATGAGAGGCTGCTTTGGGGACCCTCTGCCCGTGCCCTTCGGAGGGGGTGGCATCCTCTAGGCCTCGGGCTCCTGGGTTCAGTCTCCCTGCCCTCCACGCAGCGAGGGGGATAAGGTGAAGATCGCACAGGGCGTCTCGGGCTCCATCCAGGACAAAGGCTCCATTCAGAAGTTTGTGCCCTACCTCATAGCGGGCATCCAACATGGCTGCCAGGATATCGGGGCCCGAAGCCTGTCTGTCCTACGGTGAGTGCTGAGACCAGAGGGGGTGAGGGGTGGGGGCACCCAAGAGGCTCCCGGATCCGTCTGCTTCCTCGCTGTCTCTCTTCGCCCTTGGTGCCACTGACCTGCGCCACCTACCTGCCTGCCAGGTCCATGATGTACTCAGGAGAGCTCAAGTTCGAGAAGCGCACTATGTCAGCCCAGATCGAGGGCGGCGTCCATGGCCTGCACTCGTAAGTGTGGCGGCCTCCTCACCCTCACCTTTGGGGGCTGAGTGGGGCAAGTGGGGCCAGGACTCCAAGGCCAAACTGAGGTTCCAGGGTACCCATGCTGTCTGCAGCTGGGAGGGATGCTGCTGCAGCCCGGCCCACCACCTCCCCTCCAGGGCCCATCCTGCCCCGTGTCCTTCAGACCCAACCAGGCAGGCCCCTCCTCTCCCCTCTCCTCAGGCCTCTCCCTGAGCGGGGCACAGAGGGGGAGCCGCTAACTGCACCTGAACTCCCAGGCCTCGCTTGCTCAGGAAAAGCCAGGGCGGGGGCCAGGGCGGGGCTGGGCTCTCGCTGGTGGTGGCAGGTAGAATGAAGGTGTGAGCCCTCTGGCTGGGACGAGGGCAGAGAGACATGCCAGGGCCACAGTGGGGCCACCGCGGGTGGGGGCAGTGCTAGTCGGCAGCCATAGTGGCAGGCCCCTCCCTGGTCACCAGTCTCCACTTCCCAGGCACGGGCAGGCCTCTAACCTGTCTCTCTTTCCGCCCCACCCTCCCGTAGCTATACCTATCTGCCGTGTAAGTAACCGCGCTGCCCGGGCCAGGCGTAGAATAGAGCAGGGACAATCTGGGTGGGGCCTGGGCTGGGCATAGGCGTCCGGTGGGGGCGGTGCTGGGGTATAATCATGGGACACAGACCCTGAGGTTGGACCCTCCCAGCCTTGTGTTCCCAGCACCATGGTGGAGAAAGCCAGCAGTGGCCCCTCATCCAGCTGACATACGAATCCTTCCAGGCTGTGGAGAGATGCCCTGACCCCAGGCCTGGGGCTGCCCCATCTCAGGCTGGACCCATGACCACAAGGGGCCTAGCCCTGTGCCCGCGAGGCTGGGGTGGATCAGAGCAGACTCTGTGAGGACAGGCCATGCTTTCCCGGGCTGTCTCTCCACCCTGGGCCCTGCTCAGGTGTGGCAGTGGCCCAAGGGAAGGGTACAGGGCCCGCCCACCCATTCCTGGCCCCTCTCTTGCCTTGTCCCCACAGTTACGAGAAGCGGCTGTACTGAGGACGGCGGTGGCAGCCGAGGTGGTGGAGGGAGCACACCCCAGGACTCCCCTGCGGGTTCAGCCTCCCTTCATAACTGAACGGCCTGCAGATTTGCACTACAGCCTCCCCAGCTCCTCCAGGAAGTGAGATGGGGAGGTCCTGAGGGGTCCGTGGTCCCTCCTTGGGCGTTCCCTGCAGAGTCAGGGCTGCTTCCTGGGCCGGGCTGCCCTGGGAGACCCCAGGGTTCTCCCTTCCTCAGCCCCCTTCCCCCAGCCCAGCCAGCCTGGGCTCTCAGGCCCTGCGCCTGCCTCAGGTCTTTCTCGCTGCAGCCTGCTCGGGCCAGGCTCCCACCCCTGGGGCAGGCGGCCCCTCCTGGCTTCTCCTGTAGGGCACCTCCCTCCCTGTCCCCCACCCCGCAGGAAATGGTGCTCTCCTGGCCCTGCCTCTGGCCCTTCCCGGGCTGCTGCCCCCTCTGCCATGTGGCACTTCTGGGGTCCCGACCTCGGCCGGCCGGGGAGGTCTCTGCCCCCTTCCCAGACCCAGGGCTACCCTTGGGCCCTGCTCCTCAGGCCACTCCCCTCCCTCTCGCCCTGGGGAGGAGGCTGTCCTGGTAATGGCCGCCTGCCCATCATTCCTGACTCACCGAGCCCCCGGTATACCATTCCCACCCTCTCCTCAGCTGCAGTCAGAGGCTTTAACTTTGCACACTTTGGGATCACCGTTGCGTCATTGTGTATTACATAATCTGAATAAATCAAGCAGGTCTCAACACCTCCACCGTCCTGTCTCTGTCCTGTGTCCCATGGGTGGCTGGAGTCCCTTCAGAGGCAGGCTGGGTTGTGTTTCAGGCCCGGCCTCCCTAGGAAGGTGGTGAGGGCGCTGCAGAGTTCTGGGGGGTGTCGGCACAGGTGGGTTGTGTGGCGGAACGTCGTCTCTCAAGCCTGTGCACCCACCCATGTGCCCGCCTGTTGCCAGCTGACCTGTAGCTCCTGCAGCTGGGGAATATTGCAGAGGGCATCGTGACTGTAGAAGATCAGTGTCGGGGGCCTCCCAGACAGCTGCCAAAAAGTGCCAGCTGCAGCCTCCTGGTGCTGCACACTGGGAGTTCAACATGGCTGTGCGGAGCCCAGGGCCTGTGGGCGCGTCTGCTGAGACACCGCACACAAGACTGCGCAGGTTGACTGCCACTGTTTGTGAGGCAAAGGACCCGCCTTCCAGCCCTGAACTCCTGCGGGTGGGGACAGCACTGCCACATGGGTTGCTGAATACTCCCTGGAGTTTGGGGTCCTAGGACGTTCACCTGCCTTCCTGTGCCACTACTGTGGCTGGGCAGTGGGCAAAACGCTGTCCCACCGAGGTACAGATGCCACCCCAGCGGGCAGAAGCGAGGAAGATGGCCTGAGAATGCTCTGGTGGCAGGAATGAGCAGAGAGGGAGGAAGACCCTGGTTTGTGGGAAGTGGAAGTCTGGAAACATGAGTCCCAGGGAGGGGCCCTGAAGTTCCCTGCTGGCCTGCCTGATGGGTACCAGCCATCACTGGGTCCCTTCCGACAGAGCTGATTTTCAGGGGCCGGACACCTGGGACAGTGTCTGCAGCCACCTTTCCCTGCACATTCTCCAGCTCTGTGGTTCCTTGGGAAGAAAAAGCTGGACAGCAGGACTGCCGGTAGACTCAGAGTGGGTTCAACAACGCCTCCAGGAATTGTTGCCAAGTGAGCCGGTCATTGACCATCCCTGGAAGCCTTGTGCCCTGGAGTCTGTGGCCTTGGGGAGCACCTACGAGTTGGGTGGCCCAGTTGGGAGGGACAATGATGCCCAGGTCCCAGGTGATAAAAGATGAGAGATTGGACCAACATGGGGCTGTGTTTCACATTTTGTCTTGCACGTTGGGTTACAAAAACTGTATGGGCTGGGTGCTGTGGCTCGCGCCTGTAATCCCAGCACTTTAGGAGGCCAAATTGGGAGGATTTGAGCCCAGGAGTTCGAGATCAGCCTGGGCAACAAAGTGAGACCTCATCTCTACAATAAATAAAAAAATTAGCCAGGCATGGTGGCACCTGTAATGCCAGCTACTTGGGAGGCTGAGGTGGAAGTTTCTCCTAAGCCCAGGAGGTTGAGGCTACTGTGAGCCATGAGTGTATCACTGCACTCCAGCCTGGGCGTCAGAATGAGACTCCGACTCAAAAAAAAAAAAAGTAAGAGAGAAATACAGAAAGCAGCTTGACCTGCCATTGAGATGGGAAAGGTCTTGGGGGTTTTCAGATAAATGCTACGACACCCTGAATGGAGAGTGTGAGCGGTTTAGAGGGAGAAGTCCCCCTTTGAACTAAACCTTATTGGTCAGTAGAAATGGCCAGGAGAATGGGTTACTTTGTAAGTCAGTGACCTCCTCATGCCTGGAGTCATGTTAGCATCAGAGTAGACTCACTAGAGGAAGTTTAGCACAGTGGTTCTCAGATTTTGCTGTGTGTTGGAATACCTGGAAGGCTAACAATGAACACACGGGCCCAGGGTCACAGTGGTGACTTGGTGTCTGGGCCTCCAGATTGTTACTCAGCCCCCAGATCCTGATACGTACCAAAGTTTGAGAATTCCTGTTTTAGAGGAAATTCATGCATCCAGTTACATGATTCCCGGGCCAGCCTTTTTCCAAAGCATGTGTCCTAAGGAAAGAACTTCAGGTGACACAGTGCCCCAGCTCTGGGTCTCATTGTGAGAATTATGCGGGAACGTGGAGTGGAGGGGCGCTTGGTCTACTCGTCTTTCTGTGCCAAGGGTCTTGCCCAGATGGTTAAAGGCGGGAGGTCAGTGCTCACAAGTCTGGACCCAGACAACACACTCTGGGCTGCAAATAAATTCAACCATCATGTGGGTGGCCAGGGTGGGGCAAAGGGACAGATGCTCCAAGTAGGAAGGCCACAGCAGCATCAGCCCAGAGACACAACTGGGACAGACATAGGTCAGAGACACCCTGGTCAGCAGAACCACGTACCCACCTGGAGTCCAGCCAGGTCTGTGTGGCCCAGACTCTCCTGCACCCTCTCCCTGGGATACTCGCCCAACACCATGGAGTCCAGGCTGTCACTGGACTACGCTGTCGCATGCCCCAGGTCCCGGCTTACGAGCAGCAGTATCTGTGCAAAGCTGTAGCCATCCAGGGTGGCCCAGGTCCCTGCAGCCACACAGCACCTGAACATCCACATGGACACAGAAAGTGGCTCAGCACACTCTCCACGGCTAGAGCTTCAGGTTCTTGACCTAGGCAGGCGGCCTCGCCCCAAGCCAGGGCAGGAGCAGGAGCAGGCAGGGTCTGGGGGACCCTGGGAGACCTGGCCTGCAGGACAGGTGGATGGAGTGGGAAAGTCGGGTCACCATCACAGCAGTGGGTAGCAGTGAGGACATCTCTGGTGTGCCCTGGGGACAGATGGAGGAGGAGCAGTGGATGGACCTCGCCTCCAGCCCCACTTCCCAGGGCTGAGGACTGGCCTCCCGGTTCAGGAAGGCTGGACTAGGCCTGAGAGGCCCCTTTCAGCTTCTGTGGCTCTGCGCCAATCAGGAAGTGGCAGCCAGTCCCAGAGTGGGGGAAGTGGGGGCTGCAACCCAGGGTGTACTACTCAGCTGCCCTCCATCCCACCCCCACATTCAAAG